CGCCACTGTATTTGAAATTGCTGTTTCACTTTCACGGCAACTTCAGGCTGTTGTACCGTGAGACCTTTACTATGATATAGTAAAAAGTGTAATAAGAACACTGGAAAGGTACACACACGTGTCCCATTTTAGCACCATTGGAGATCTCAGTTCACGTTCAACTCATCGCTCAAATACAGAAGAAGCTGATCTAAAGAATATTACAGGTAAAAACCTACATACACACGCTTTTATTTGATGTAACAAACCTTTAGCTATTGTTCTTTTGAGCTCAAAGGTAATGTAATAGTCTTTTGTCAAATGCATTCCTTCAGATCATCGACTTTGTGTTGGGACAGTTGAAAAGTCGTTTTTCGAGAGCAGATCACACTTCAATTCTCGATCTGTACAGCCTATTACCAAGTTCTATCATAAAAACCGATAATCTAACCTCCGTAGTAGAAGCTGCACCCGTTTACAATAGACGATTTTCCTAATCCTCTCATTATCAGGGGAATTAACTCTTTGAAAGGAGCTTTGGAGTGACCGGAAATGTCTTCCCCAAACAGCAGCAGAGGCGAATCAAGAGACACATGAGTTTTTCCCATATTCACCGAGATATATCTGGCAGTCTACAACCTAACTAAGTCATTGAAGATTTCGCCGAAAAGTTATGAGAGGAGACTGATTATGCGTTAAGCAAAATAAAATGTTGCATTCTTTTTATTGAATTCCTACATGAAACCTACTCTCAACAGGGTCAAGCCCTTCTGAAACCAAAATCCTGAATCCGCCACTGATAGACAGGGACTATTCTTAAGTCTACCTGTAAATTTATATTAGGGAATGCAATAAATTGAACTGAATCACGAAAGCGACCGCTAAGTGTCTACACAACTTAATGTTAAAGATACGCACGAAAAAGTTTTTGAATGTTTGTGTTTATTCTGGAAATTTACCTAATAAATAATAAAAAATAGTGACTTGCAAGCACAATAAAACTTCTGCCAGTTTTGTCAAAAGTAAACACTAATTAAATTATTTCCAGGTCGTTATGTGATTTTGTTAATGGGAGCGTTCAGTATTTTTACTGGATTATGCTATAACGATTGTTTTGGTTTTGCCATTTACATTTGGACGGTCATACTTTAGAAACCATAAATCTGTAGAAGAATTAAGTCGTGGTGAAATGATTGACGTGGATCCAGCTGGAAAAACAGGCAGTGTTTTACCTTTTAGGCTTGGATCCTATTTTGGTCGGTGAGATATAAATGTTTGTTGTTTATTATTAACATATCTTAAATTCAGTCTGACTATTCAAACTCAACCTAATGCTTTAGCAACAGGTTGAGTTTCAATAGTCAGAAGGCAAGTTTGTTTTTTTCGCTCTGTTTGCTCTTTTTTCTTTCTTTAGGCTAGACATTAAATTAGAATATGTTTACTTTGGCAAAGTAAAGCAGTTATTTTTAAACGAAACTGAACAAATAAATTCATATCAATTTTTCTCAATAATACAAATAAAATATTTGTTTATGCCTAATAAGATAAAACGTCACTTTTTATTTTGACTTTGTTATGTACATTATTATTTAAATGGTCCAGATTTGTAAACTAAAAAGATTATGATAGGCGTTTATTGAGAGATGTGGGTACTTTGACAGATTTAGGTAGGTCACGGTCACGCTCATTCATTGGTTTTCGCACATTCCTTGTATATATTTTGCATTATTACAGCACACAATGCAGACTAAAAACAGATTAAATGAATAGAAACATTACAACTATTTGAAAAGGATTAGCGATGTTTCGTTCGTAAATTAATTTCTTATCTGAATCGATTATTTTCTCTATCGATTTGTAGACACCTTATACTACAACTGTTAAAATGCATTTTTTTAATAATTATAGTCTATCTAATGTAAGAGGTACCGTTTTTGGCGTTTTATACCTTTCAAGCCGAATGAACTTGTCTTATCTCCAGCTATAATAATCAATATGTTAACGTAACTTACTTTGAAGATACCCGTCATTAAATATGTTCGGCCCATTATGACCCAACGTGGATGGTGCTAGGTTAAAGGTATTTCTCTAAAAGCGTGTCTTTTAGCGTCTATAAATGACGCTGATTACGAATATAAAAAAAAGCAATTAGAAATTGAGGATGTTTATAAAGTCGAAAATTGCTTGCATCTATTTTTTAATCATGAATAATTATGTAAAAAGTATTTAAAAAAATAGCTACAAGCAACTTTTAACCTAATGAAGTTCCTCAACCAATATCTAATTTATTAGTTTATATTCGTGATCAGCGTCATTTATACATGCCAAAAACGCGTTTTAAGAAAAATGACATCAAGGACGAAATCATATTTATATTCATATTTATCATATATTGTAGCAATCATGTCTTTGACCTCCTCCTTATTCTTCAATCTGACAGAACTGTCAAACAGTACCTCTTAGATTAGATGTACTATAGACTGTAAGTAAGACTATTTGCCACTGAAATTAAGTTTCAATTTTCTAACACAAGTTATTGAAAAAAATACATTCATTTTTAGATAACATTGCTCATAGTATATTGCAATTATATATTTGTAAACGAAGTAAAGGAGTCCTAGTAGGACACTAGAAATCTGAAGTCTATACTAATAAATAGGTACTATCCTACAATTATATATTGGTATATTTTACCATCTGACTTACTAGTTTGTAATGCAGGATACGGGTCAATTCTACAAAGAGATCTGGTAATCTAAGTAGGCCTTGATAACAAATAACAATGAGCTACTTCTCCTTGATGCGCTCGCTGCCCCGTCCTACTGAAAAGCGCGAGTAGTCTGCTGCTACCGAAATTATTCGTTGAGGAGGCTCGTACAAACTAAATGTGATTAATGTTGAAATTATGTTAATTAATCATTATTATCTTTGGCACGCTAACAATGATTAGATTCAATCAAGTTTCATCATCATCAGTTTCACTTGTTCTTATAGCTAAAGAACAGTTTGATACAGTTGATACTATAGTATAAAGGGCTACTGGGTAAATCGACCAAAGTACTTTATTTTATGATTTCACTATGTAATACCATATTACAAACATAACCATTTGCAAGATATTGGAGTTTTAAGATTTTTCATAAAAAAATGCCGAAATTTTGCATAAAACAATTTTTTTTAGAACTTACATCCTTTATTTTATACATTTTTTTACTGTTTTTATATAGTTGATAAATTGTTTCAGAATTGAAATTACTAACATTGTAGTTAACTAAACAAACTAGGCTGTAGTAGTTGGTTAATACAAAAAAAAAGAAAAAAAAAACAGATTTTCTTCTTTGACAAAATACAAAAATTTATGACAGTTAAACTGCAGATCTGTTAAAAAAAAAAATGTATGTATTTAACCGACTTCAAAAAAGGAGGAGGTTCTCAAGGCGACTGTATTTTTTTTTTATGTTTGTTACCTCATAACTTTCGACTGGGTGAACCGATTTTGATGATTCTTTTTTTATTGAAAAGCTGGTGCTTCCCGTGTGGTCCCATTTCAATTTGGTCTAGTTGTGACCATGGAATCTATGAGAAAACCATTGAAGTCGGTTTTTTTTTGTTAAAAATTTTTTCAATATCAGAATTCATAGAAAAAAACTTAGGTGAAAGACCGAGAGTATTTCATGCGTCAAGTCCTTGTTGAAAACTTGGCTTGCATTTATTGACTGTTCGTTTTCTATTTGTGACTAACTATTGCTAAGTGGGCTTTGATTTGTGCTTCTGATACTGTTGCAGATGATGACCTATATGTTCATATTTTGATTTCATACGAGCAAGTAATTTAATTAATTTAAATTCTTTACTTTTCTATTTTCATTTTGTATATCTTACATTATTATTGCCTGTTTACAATTTTGTGACATTGTGATCCATATTTACATAATAAATTTTATTATTTAATGCATTTACCTATATTCTAATAATTTTATCTATTATATGCGCAGTGGGCGAAATATAGCTGGACTATTAGTCTGTATATTGTACCTACGATTTGCAATAAAGATTACTATTACTGTTAAAAAAAAGGTTGTTTTAAAATTCTGCTAACATTACAATTCTTCTCTTGCTTCTTAGAAAATCTTTAAAGTTGATCGGAAAAGTTCGTCTTATTCTCGCATAACAATGCAAGATATATCTTACATACATTTCTTTGAAAAAGATTTCTCTTTTGAAATCTTCCTTCAATGTAAACTAGATTGAAATAGGGAAAATACGATACCTATAAAAACAGGCTGCAGCATCTAGGTAATAAACTATTGTGTGAGTTTTACAGTATGAAATATATTTAAAAAGTGGAAAGTCTACTGTGAAGTATTGTAAACCATTGTCCACCTGTTTTTAAAAAACAAGACTTAGTGCATCATACGATAATTGCGTTATAAGACATTTTACAGTAAAATAACTTAGAACATACTTTGAAGAAATGTATGACTTCGTATTCCTTTTTCCCGATGTTATCACTACATTAATACATCAGAAACGTGGGCAAAACTAATATTGACGTCGTTAAGTTTGTACTTGGTAGCCTGAGGAGCTTTAATATTTATAACTATGCGTAGTCCACGAAACAATTTAAGTCCAGTTGGGTCTATTGGTCTATTGGTTAGTGACCCTGACTGCTATGCCGGAGGTCGTGTGTTCGATTCCCACCCACAACAAATATTGTGTGATGAGTACGGTCATTGATTCTGTATCTGGGTGTAATTTATCTGTAATATGTATGTATTTAAAAATAATAGGTCTGCTGTCTGGTTACCATAGCACAGGCTCTGCCTAGTTTGGGATCCGACTATAGTGAGATGTGTGAGAAATACTAGTAATAATTCTTCCTGTAAAGTGAAATTTCTGTTAAATTTAAAAGGTTGTTTATAATTCATGGAAGCGGCTACAGCATCTATAGGCTTAATTTTTTGTGATTATAGAATAAAAAAACGATGTCTATTTGATTTCAGTTATCAAAAAATAAGATTATGATGGATAATTCCATTAAGATGAAACTTTCAATAATCATTGGAGTCGTCCACATGATATTTGGAGTAGTGCTAAGTCTTGTTAATTTTTGGTGAGTAAAGTTGATGTTTGAAGGAAATTAGTTGGCTTAAGTTGGCACCTATTTTATAATTTAGCCATGCGTCGTAATAAATTCTTTTTTCAAATAATTACTCCTTAACCATCAATGATACCTCCTGTGAAGACATCGTTATTAATATAGTATTGTAATTGAAATTAACTATTAGTGATGCAATAAATATGAAAAGCAATGTAGATTTAATTCAAACATGGTCGTCGTCTATTTTGTTTGTTCTCATACTTTCTGGCTGATACTGTCAATCGTCATTAACTATCTGGTGGGCCTCAATTGATTGCGGGTTCGAGCCCCATTTAGTATATTACCGGCATGAAACCACTACTATAACTATTTAGCTTACCTGGAAGGGTTAAGAAGGTTCTCTTCCATAAAATCAGTACAGTACAGTACTGTCGCAATTGTACGCTACTTTCGTATTTTTGGTGTAATTATCTTATGCAATTGTAAAAAAGTATTAATATTATTTTCATAATAATAATAATAATAATATGTCGTTTATTTTCTCACCAAAACCAAAATACATACAATGAAAATACGATTACGCTATAACAAGTTCTTTATTTTATAATTACAATATTTTTTAATTTTTTGAATAAAATCTACTTTGTTAAATAAACTTTTTATGTATTTTATTTTTAGCTACTTTAAACGATGTTATTCTATATTGTTACAATTCATTCCGGAAGTGGTATTTTATCATTTTATTCTTTTGGCTTGTAATTATGATTTTCTACAAATGGTTTCTTTTATTCTGCGAAATCAAGTAAGTTTCAATTAGTTCAATAATAATCTAGCAAGAATATAATGTAGTGTAAATAGAAAATAAAACCGGAAGCGAAAACATTTTACTGAGTAGGCAAGAATGAAGCATCATTATTTCAGGACTTTTCGTTGGGATCTCGCTATCTGTTAATATTATGTTAATCTTCAATTAGATATTTGATTGGAAACTGAACCAACAGTTGACAAGATCGAATCCTCGTAATATCTTTTACAGACATGACATAATATTTTATATAACTATAACATCTTTCTTTAACAGCTGATCAAGAGTACGGCACATCTTGTGCCCCTCAAATATTGATATTATTTATCGATATGGCGCTTTTTTCTGAAACAAAGCCTGTTGAGGAAAATTGCAAGTTAGCTTACATGTTTGAAGGACAAAGAACCGTTCAAATGTTTTTGATATGCGTGGCTTTAATGATGGTGCCAATTTTATTGTTTGGCACACCCCTATATAAGTTGAAAACCAATAAAAAGAAGAGGGAAAAAGCAGTGGTAAGTACATCAATTGCCCATACCTTGATTTTTAATTACTTTTGCTAATTATATAAATAGCAGCAGGCTTGCCATTTGCCAATTGTCATGGATATACATTCCAGTGTAATTATCAAGCCCTTCTCATAGATTGTATGTTTATTAAATACCGTCCCACAGAAATAGACCCACTAGAAAGACTATGTAATTATTAGATTCTGTTGTCATGTGAATAATCAGAAATATTGGTTTCAGTCAGAAATATTTTGTGGAATGAAATAAAATAAATATTACAATGATAACATTTCAATGTGGATAAGTGGCAATAAATTACTTCAAACTTATATAAAAGTACAAGCGTACGTTTAAGTAATAAGTGGTTTGGTAGGCTAAGTGAAGAATGGTGAATTTAGTAGATATCTAGTTTAAATCACTCGGCAGGGGAAAAGCAAAATTAATGTGATAATTGGCTTGCCTTCGGAAAAAAGGCTGCGAAGCTGTTTGGTTTGATGATAGGAAACAACTCTAGGTGTTTGCGATTTCCAAATATCTCTCGCATATAGAATAGAATAGAATAGAATAAACTTTTTGTCACCCAAAATTTCAA